TCGTCGTCCGTCCTCTCTCTCTCTCTCTCTCTCTCTCTCTCTCTCTCTCTTTCGCGACGGGACACGTCCTGAATCCGAAGACACATCGCTCCGTTCGAGTTCTCCACGCGACTGAATAAGCTGAGAGGCCGGGAACATAAGCTACTTGGATTTCAAGGAGGAGTGTTGCGTTACTTTTGCGAAAAGCGGACGCCTCGACGACATTCCTCACGTTCTTCGTCTCGTAATCTCTTCAAACGGATTGCTCCCATAGCTAACAAATACATTTGAACGAGCGTCGCGTTCGTCTTAAAGAACTGAACAAACGAATCTGCTTCGCCTTCTCTCTCTCTTTCTCTCTTTCTCCCTTTCCTCTTTTTCCTTTATTTGTCTATCGTGTTTCTTTGTAAGTGTAACAATTGCTTGGTTTTCAGTAAAACTTGATCTTTGCCTCCGTGATATCGCTATACTTTGAGCGTCTTTGAGAAATGATCGCGAGTCATACCGCGAACGGAACATCGAGAAGATCAAGAGCTGTTTGTTTCCTTGTCCTTTGTATGGCCTTCGTTGTATTCCGCCGTAGGTTTCGCTTCTTCATTGAGCTGCGTCAGTCGTTTCGTTGAGAATAGCGTAACGAGAAAATGGTCGAGATGTGACTTTGGGAGATCCCCAAGTTTTTGCATTTTGATCGCTGCTCGAGACATAGCTACCTACCTAGCGTTGCCGTAACTTGCTCCGGGGAGTTTCATCCCGGCGAAAATCAAAGGAAAACCTTCCGAGAAAATTTAATTTCTACAATTTAATTATACGGCAGATGAAGCGCGCTTCAAACTTGGGGTGAGATGAAAATTGTTTACCTAAATTTGTCATTTATTTTGCAATTACGTACACCGAGACACTTCCGTGTTTCAATTTCGGCAAATCAACTCGAGGTATGATATTTATTGTCAGTTATTGTTTTAACAAGCAACCTCGCGCAACTTTTAGCTTATGCGAAACGTAAAACGAGATTTTAATTTCCGTGTGAAATTTCGAATTAAATTTCTTTCACAGTCGTGTCTGTGACTTTTTTTCGTGAAATGTAAGATACGTTTATAAAAGCGGGTCGGCACGGTGTGAAAATATCTGGACCCGCGACGAGATCCACATCGGTTTTTTTTTCTTTCGAGTTTCCATTAATAGAGAAACGAAAGGTGAAACTGAAACTAAAAAAATACGTCACAGTCAAACAAACGGGGAGTGGAGAAAGATGGCCATCGATGAATGATTGGTTTCAGCGCCATTAGCAAACACCTGAAGCTCCTCGCCCCACCGGAGATCCCTCGTCTTGAACTTCCTACGGAGAAAGAAGAGCACAGTCCGGGGTTAACAAACTCATCCCTTTTCGAACTCGCTCTGACCCGTCCCGCAGTTTTTAAGCCCTTTTTTGCCGCGCTCGTCGTGCCGGCTGCAACGCGAAAAACCCGATTAACAGTCGGCGATTGGAATCGGCTGCTTTTTCTGCTGCATTGTGGAACTTCGCGCGGTATTTCGAGCGAACAGAATATCGACGATTCGACTCTGCGGTCAGGGATTTCCAAACGGATTTCGCTTTGAAGCCGAAGAATTTCACGATTGTTAATTTGAATAATGTATCCAGTCCATTGTTCACGCGAAACACACAGGCCGATCACGTATTGGCAAAAGGAAAAGAAAGATTTTCGTTATCGTTTCCCGTGATATAATATACGTGTAAAACACACCACGTATCATCATTAACCTTTGGATTAACCTTTGGAGCGCGCATGCGCAATTTGACACTTGTTTTATATAAATATATTATACAGAATTAATGCATTTAAAATGCATATTATTAATATGTTTAAAATATATTACATATTAATATATACTCAGATATAAAAAATTAGACTATTAATTGAAAGTATGGTTATTACGTGATATCACAAGATATTGCTTTTATAGAACGTTAACACGAGGACAAAGATTCTTTGACAGCGTCCTTCCGCAAATTTTCTCACTGTGCTAAGATCTCGTATAGTGCACATAAAGTTTTTATCGGGAGATTTCACGTTGCCACCAAGAGTATCGTTTTCTTAGAATAAAATAATCAGTGAGACGAGCGAAGAGGGACAAGGATGCCGGAAAAAATTGATGAGCAACTGTTGCATGAATTTTACGCCACACCGGTAGATCGTTACTTTGAAAAACAGCTGCACTCAGGAAGGATGCTGGAAAACTCTGCCTCAAAGTCTATTAAATATCTTTAATGAGACGATCCTGTTATATAAAAGTAGTTTTATTGTATTATTATCTCCTTACATTTTTATATTTTATTCTTGCCATTATCTTTTTAAATTAGAACTTCCATCGCCAATATTAAATATATTTAGTTTTAAATGCATAAAAAATTCTTATAAAAAAAAGAGGATGGAGAATGATATCTCTATTATCGAGATCCTTTGCGCTTTATATGAAAAATAATAAAACTCCCATTAGAAGACACCGGGAACCAAGTACTCGTTTTATGTATGCGCTTAACTTTATTTAACCAAGGGACTTGGATTATCCTGCAAATCTTACAATTTCTAGGCATAGATTTTCGTTTCAGTAGGGAGTACTTTTGCGGGAATTTTCGAGATGGAACTCTCGAAGGATGTTCTACCGGAGTTCATTCGTCCGCGACGACCGACGTCTCGAACAGTTTCGAATTTGAATTTCTGTATTCGTGCCGACGAGTTCGACTCGCTTCAAACTCAATCGGATAAGCTCGGCAGAACTTGTTCGATAATGGGAATCGTCGAGCGGGAAGAATCGATTTCCTTATGACAACGCGCGACACGACCGAGATTTTATACGTCGCGTTAATCACGCCACGGTCAAGCTCGAAATCTCATTTCGTACATTTTCTCGTCTCGCCAGTTAATACATAATTTATCGCATTGTTGCGCCGCAATCCGATTTGCACGAGTTTCCAGCAATTATCGATATGTCATTAAGCTATCTGTTCTCAATTACACATTTTGATGATTTCTAATTTGCGCCGACCGAACGTTCGAATTATATCCTTTTACTTAATTCGATGTCACTGGATTCGTCGATTAATTAGACTAATTATGCCATTTGCCGGGAGAATTTGCTACCCTCCTCCCCTTTGAAAGATCTATTTGGGATTTTAGAGAGGTCTGTTTAAAATTCCGTTACCGCACATTAACGTTTTTTATTATATAATAATGTGTCAATGGATAAATTCCACTAACTTTACCGTATTGTTTTTGGCAGAATGCGCGGCCAAGAACGGGAGATCGGTAGTGGAGCACCATCCGTCCTCTTACTGGGAGCAACCCTTTAGTCAGCCTTACTTCGACAACACGACAAAGAGGGAGACCACAACTACCGTCGGGCAATCCGCTTACCTGCACTGCAGAGTGCGCAATCTTGGCGATCGTGCGGTAAGTTCCAAGTTTCCTTATCAAGAGTCCGTCGTTGTAATAACAGCAGCCGAGTTCGGGAACATTGTATTTCACGAGTACAGATTAATATCACGAATCACGTTAAAGCGATACGCCTCTGATTTCAGAGATTATCCGAGTTTTCTGATATATTTATATTTTATTTACCGCTCAAGATTGTACCTATCAATTAAGTCCTCTTTACAATATTTTTACGTTGCACATTTTAATTTGAATTTTCTTTAAATTAATTTTTTTTTAACTCTGCTCTACCTGCTATTTTTCTTTTTTTTTTTCTTTTTTTTTTGTTCCTTTCTTTTACTTTCTTTTAATTTCTCTTACAAAATTGTTGTAGTTATCTTCTTCGCGCTAAATTATTCAAGAATTTGCTTAATTCGGTACACCGTCATTGCGACGACAATGTCAATATTGTTCGTTTCTCCGGTAATTCAACCAAGCACAGTTTTAACGAACTTACCTTACGGGAAGATTAAAGTTAGAACGCACAAGTCAGGAATCATTTTACAATTCATACTTACAAAATGTTGAAAATAAATGCGGAATTATTTTGCCTCAGCAATCAACAGTCTTGCAACATTGTCGATGTTGCCCGTGTTTAAAAAAAAAATCAATTAACCGATTAATCTTCTTATTACATAAATTATGCAGAGCTCGGCGGACGTTTTAACGTTCGATTATGCATCAACAAATTCTCGCGATTAAATTTTGCCATTATGAGGAGATTCAATGGAGCGAAAGCACAACAAATTTGTCGTTGCAAAATTAAATCGTACACACACACACACACACACACACACACACACACGCGCGCGCGCGCGCGCGCGCGCGCGTTCGATTATCACAGAAATTCTCTATTGCGTTATTATTTTGCGCAAAGTATTTTCGAAAATTGCGGTCTCGCGCAAAATTCTTTGCCGTTGGCGTTGATAAATTTTCGTATACGTGCGGACGACGCGTGCCCGACGATCGGAATCACGCAATTCGAAGTGAAATAAATTTGCAGTTACGGCAGTCGGCGAGGCATTAATCCGCGATCGTTTCTCAACAAACTTCGCCGCTCTCTTCGCTAATGCACTCGCGCTACCTGCGATTCGTATACCGGTTCATTCTTCATTTACTCACGCGACATCGCCTCGCACTTTTACAGCAACCCAATTCACATCTTCGCGCGCCAAAGCTTTTTGTAACTTTTTTTTCCTTCTTATTTCCGCTCGCGAACTTGCGCGGCAAGTATAACTCTTCACGTCCATACACTTCCTTACGCAAATTTAGAAAATTACAAAAAATTATATTAACACATACGATCTCGTTAACGTTAAAATATCTCTAGCTAATTACGACCATCGTGCGATGAAACAATATTTTTAGAATAATCAGAGAAAAAAAGTAGCAATTTTATATTTCACTGTTGTCCTCTAATTAATTATAAACAATTGTCTAATTGTACTATAGAAAATTAATTCTTTGTAGTGGAATCGTTTTAAAGCTGTATTAATCGAGAGAACGAGAAACGTAAATTTTTTTTTTCACGAGAAAAATAATATTATATTCTTTTTCAGATTTTATTTTTGATGTGTTTTTTTAATAAACCACTTTAATGTTCCGCTGTTTATTTAGTTGACGTTCCCACCCGTGTGTGTGTGTGTGTGTGTGTGTGTGTGTGTGTGTGT